CAAGACCTCTTGAGGTCTGAGGGGCCAGCGCCAATCCCTACTATATGGACAGCCCCCACCTCCCTGCAGAAGAACTCACTTCAGAGGACAGCACTGAAGCTACAGCTCAGGGAGAGGGACATGTCTGGTCAGAGCACACGGGAGCAAATGAAGGGGGAGGAAGAGAGAGTGGAACATCTTGGCCCACCAAGCCTTGAGGATGATATTCCTGCTCAGAGCAGCCAATCCACAGAGAGGACCACAGGGCCAGCACCAATAAGAGACACAATGTCCCTCACTGACTCATAGCACTGTGGGGACAACACTGGAGACAGTGCGGGAATTGCGCCCAATCTGACCCCACCACACCGAGGCAACAATAAGGGGAGTAGAGGAAGGAAGTCCCCAGAGAAAACCAAAGATACTTTGGGTCCAGGGCATGACACCCCATCAACAAACAGACATTGAACTATTTACAGGCTTTTATTTGGCACTGGTTTTTGTTTTCTTGTTTTGCTGTCTTGTTTTTTGTGCATATTATTATCTCTGCAGGTCTATCTAGATAAGATAGGCAAGATAAACAATCTGGAGGAGAAAATAGGACCAACAGTTCCAGAAGGACATGGGAGGGAGGGGCATGGGAAAAGGAAGTGGGTGTTAAACTCAGGGACAAGGGAACAAGTGATCTAAAAGTGATGGCAAGGAGGGTGTAGGAGGCCTGGTAGAGCTTGATCAAGGGAAATGTAACCAAGAGGAATTACTGAAACCCAAATGAAGGCTGAACATGATGGTGGGACGAGAAAAGTAAAAGGAAATAAAGAACTAGGAGGCAAAAGGGCATCTATAGAGGTCTAAATACAAGCATGTACATACGTAAATAGATTTATATGATGATGGGGAACTAAATCTATGTACATATATTTATAGGCTTAGTATTAAGGTAGCAGATGGGCTTTGGGCCTGTGATCATGAGGTGTCAATGGGATCAGGCATCAAAGAACAAGAGTCGTATCATCTGTAGGCAACTAGACATCCCCTTACAGAAGGGTCGCAGGGAGAAGACAAGCCAGTCAGGGTGCAGTGTAGCAACAATGAAACATACAACTTTCGTCTAGTCTAGTTCTTAATGCTTCCTCCCCCACCTAACTGCGACCCCCCACCCCCCACTATCCTGATCCCAATTCTACCTTACAAATCCGACTGGACCAGAGGATGTACACTGGTAAATATAGGAACTGGAAACACAGGGAACCAGGACAGATGAACCCCTCAGGACCAGTGGTGAGAGTGGCAATACCAGGAGGGTGGAGGGAAGGTGGATTAAAAGGGGGAACCGATTACAAGGAGCTACATATAACCCCCTCCTGGGGAGGGACAACAGAAAAGCAGGTGGAGACATTGGACAGTGTAAGACATGACAAAATATAAATATCAAGGAAGGGTTCATGAGGGGGTCAAGGGAAGAAGGGGGAAATAAGCTGATACCAAGGACTCAAGTAGAAAGCAAATGTTTTGAGAATGGCTGTGTGTATGAATTGTGATCAAGTTGTACGAGTCCCCAATAGTGATTTAAAAAAAAACACCTCTTCAAAGTGCTGAAAAGCAAGGTTGGGATCAGGGTGTGTCCGATCCCAGCCATAGAATTTTCAATTGTCATGTATCCATATGAAAGTTGCACATTGAGTAAAGAAGACCAAAGAATGATAGAATTACGGTGCTGGCGAATATTGAGAATACCACGGGCTGCCAAAGACAAACAAACGTCTTGGAAGAAGTATGGCCAGCGTGCTCCTTAGAGGCAAGGAGAAACTTTTGTCTTACACACTTTGGGCATAATGGGAAGGGCCAGTCCCTGGAGGACATTGTGCTTGCAGCAGTGGAGGAGCAGAGACGGGTTGACACGGTGACTGCAACAATGGGCTCAGGCCCAGCAGTAACAGGGCGGCTCCAGACTGAGCAGCGTTTTGTTCTGTTGCACAGTAAGGTCGCTAAGGGTCAGGACCGACCTGATTGCACCCAACAGTCACGTGAAGGTGGTGCTGCTGGGTAAGGGGCTGCTAACTACAACGTCAGCATTTCAAACCCACAAGCCACTGAAAGGTGAGGCAGTCTGCTTCTGCATAGATTACAGGCTTTGAAACCCTATATAGGGTTGCTATGAATCAGCATCATCTCGATGGTAGTGTTTATGTGTTAAATGATTACCTGATGCTCAGACCAGTAATACTTTTCTCAAGTTGATAAAAGATTAAGTTTGTGGTGAATTAAGACAAGTATGTGGGAGTCAGCTTTCTGAGTCTTTTGCATTCATGTCTTTTGAGCAGACATGGGCAGCTTTATTTCACAAGGCTTTCTCAATAGTGAACAGCTTTGGCAGATGGAGATAGTGTTTCCTACTGGGATAAGAGGTTTGCTCACTATAAGAATCTCTCCAGCTGATGCAAAGCTTGAGTAGATTTGCTTGCTGTCCATTATGATTTGGGTTTCCTAAGCTCCATGTCATCCCCAGTAAACCCCCAGGACAAGAGGAAACACACACACACACCCCACCCCCCCATGTGGCACTTCGCACTCTAATGCAGTCCACTGCCCCTCACCCAGGAATCTGACTTAGCATGTTCAGCTCTCTGTAGGTCAGGTATTGAGAAGAGTAAGTTAATGCAGTAGTTCAGATATTCAAGCAACTGGTCATCTCTGCTAAGAATCGCACGATGCTCCATTCTAGTCCCCCTTGCTATAAACTTGACCCGCGAGAATACTGAGTACCTTTCAGTCATGGCCTCTCAAGTCCTGCCCTGCCAAACCTTCCCTTAACCCTGTAGACCACGTGCAATTATGGTATCTTCAAATACGTTTCCAATGCATGTTCCTAAGCATTGCTCCTTTTGATGACTACCAGTCTAGGGAGTGTAATGGCTGAAAGGATTGGACTTTTAGCTCAAATCTGAAAGGTGACCTTTCACTGATGATTACACCACAATCACGTGTATTTCACATTGCAAACACGCCCGGGCACTTGCCTCTGCTTCACTGTGCGCACACCTTTCACCAGATTTGCTCACTTGCCAGCCATCAAGTCTATGCACTCAGCAACCCTATAGGACAGGGTAGAACTGTCCCTGCGGGTTTCTAAGGATCACTTTCTGTAAAATTTAGCAGTGTTAGCACTTTATCCACATCATACAACAGTTCCATCTATCAAGAAAAGTTGTACAATCATTACCACAATCAATTTTAGAACATTTTCCTCTTGTGCTCATTATTCATGTCTTTCAATTGTAGCAAAAATATACATTCTCCAATTCAATGAGTTACATGTTTAATTCAGTGCTATTGATTATACTGTTGTAGAGACTTAATTCCTTATGAGCAGACAGCCGTCTTTCTCCCATGGAGTGTTTTTGAACTGCTGACCTTATGGTTAGCCATCTAAGACATAACCAGCATGCCACTAGGGCATACACAGAATTGAAGTACACATAAGACCATGTCCTTCCTGGTGGTCAGGTGTCGCCAGGCTCAAGTCGGACAAGATGATGAGACACTGTCTGGCTTGGAGCCATCGTCGTAATTGTTTGAGCCCATTGGTGCAGCCACTGTGCCAATCCATCTCCTTGCCCTTTTTCACTGATTGTCCATGTTGGCAATGCCCTTTCCCAGGGGCTGAACTCACCTGACAATTCAAAAGAAATCCTTTACAATATAAACCTGTTACACATGGCCAACGACACACCTATTCATTTCCTGTGGCTGGTAACAGCAAGTTACTGAAAAGTCTAACTCAGAATGCTGCACCAACATTGAGGCACCGCAGGAGCTTCCAGGGACTCCAGCACACACCTGAGCTTCTGACTGATCCTATTCCAAGTGCTGCCTCCGGGCACACTTCCTTAAGTCTCAAACCCCTCTCCCTCCAGGGATACTTGAAACTGCACTGAAAATCCACCCAAATAAGCTGGGGCAATGACCCCCACTTGTGCTATAAAACACTCCCTGTTACAGCTCAACATTAGTCTTTTAGAGGAAGCATCATTCATCCTACCAGTGCTGACATGGCAAAAACAGTACCAATTGTTTTTTTTTTACAAACAAATCACTTTAGCAGCACTGCTAGTATTTATTATTCAACCCTCTCCATGGACACATACCCTTATAGAAGCCACATACAACCCCATCCACCCAACCTAATCTTTGGTAATACACTCCTGTTTGTTACAGCCAAAAAATGCAGCCAACTTCCGCGAACAAGTTGTATAGAAACCTTACTTGATAAGAACCTAATATGCTGTGGAAACTGTCACTTAAAGCAGTTCTACAAAGACAAGGCACCTTTTAAACAATTTTAGACTCCAGAAGGTATAAAGTTTCATTTCAAAATCTAGGATCTCGGGGGTCTAAATGGAGAGAAAATGTTTTGAGAAACGATGTACAAATGCGCTTTACACAATTGATGTGTGTATGGATTCGGGTAACAGTTGTATGAGCCCCTAATAAAATGTTAAAAAAAAAAAAATCTAGGATATCCATACCAGTCATTTAAGGATAAATCAAAACCCAGTGCTGTGATTTCCAATTCATAGCAACTCCCCACAGCACGCCCCCACTCCCTGGCCCCCTAGTTGATAACTACTCTGTAGGGTTTTCCATAGCTCAGCTCTTCGCAGGACACCCTCCTCCCTTCCTTCTCCAAGGCATATCTTTGGGTGGTCCCAAACCTGATCAATGTTAACCATGCTCACTACCCACTAGTGGCTAAACTAAAATCAAAATGCACTGGTGAAACCAGCTTGAGGATAAAGCCCCCCACCCCCCAAGTTTGACATGTATGTATACGCATGGAACAGGTATGGGATGAAATGAGCAGCTTCACCAGTCCTGCTTTCCAGAAAGCATCACTCACACGAAGACACTACATTTACACTGTAGTTCTTACGTAAAGCCTATTCCTATACTCAATGTGAATTCTAATGATCCCATTCTACTTTCACTGCACACTGCCTATTTTAAAAAAATAGAAAAGCTTGAATGGCATATTTATTTGGTGAATTTACATGTGAGGTCATTTACAAAAGAAAAGATACAGACAGATGCAGCCTTCAATTTCAAAAATTTTCAGTGCAGGCAATAGAACTCACGAGGGTGTGGAATGGTAGTACTGGATGGCACATGCTTCCGTCTCCTTTGCGTGTGTATGTGGTTCCTACCCAACTCCAAGTGCAGGAGAGCAGAGGAGTAGAAAATACCAGGGTAAGAGTAATACAGCCATGCAAACAAAAAAAGAACATTAAAGGTCATTTACATATGTGGAACGTTTCTGTGTTCAGGGGTTACCAGAGTAGATACATAATTTAGGAACATTGTGGGGTTCGCCAACGTTCCATTACCTAAACCATTTTGAATTACCTTGACTTCTCTCCCATCCAGTTACAGGGGTCCCTTTCCAAAAAATGACTTTGTAAAGAGGTAATTTCTAAGTTTCTTAAATGATACCATTTGCAGACAAAATCCTTTTGGTTTCAAAGCACCCTTTTAAAGACAGAAAATACACCTTTACCCTAACACTGTAACATAGGAAAGTGAAAGTGAAGGTTTGCTCTGTTATATGAAATTAGATAACCCCACCCCCACCTGGAATATCCAAAATCAATCCAGCATAGAAGCAAAAGGGCGTCTATAAAAGCAGCAGTTGGCAAACAGCTATTTCTAAGGAGGTAGGGGAAAGGTCAAAGTGAAAACAATGTCAAACAAAAGCCCTCAAAAATAAGCCCCACGGTCACCTCACAGTGAAAAAGCACTGCTCGCCCTCAGCATCGCTCAGAGCCCTGGCTTCCAGACCACTTACACAAACGCAACCCCGGCCGGAGCACAGCATAGTACTAGTTCAGAAAACACTGTGCTTCTGGCTCGAGGTCTCAGGTCCTTTTTGGATGAATCTTCGACCACATTATCTTCATAAGAAATTTTAAGCTAATTAAATACCTCTGTCACACATATATCTTTATTTAGGTTATGTACACAACCAACCGGCAGTTTCTTTAAAAAGTATACTATTATTAAATCCAGTACTCAGTACAGAAATAGCAAGACAAGCATAAACATGCCTCTGTTTACTCTTAAACCTCTTGCGTGGTCCACTCTTCCCAACTCAGCGTTCCAGCATTGTCGTCAGAGCACTTTGCTTCTGCATAGTGTACCACACAGAAACCGGCGATGGCGGAGTGCAAGAACAATGCACACTACCCATTAGAGGTGAGAGGGATCAAAGGACTAATAGCGGTCACTGACTTAAAAGTTCTGGAGAGTCCAAAGTGTGCATGCTGACAATGTTTGAAAGGGGCTCTCAATTCTGCCATCTTAGAAACAAATCCCCATTTAAACTTTAGTTTCCTTGAGAAAGCAAAACCCGCTGACAGGGATCATTTATATTCATTTAAAAACCAAGATACTGTTAAAATAGTCACTTATCATATATACCGGTGTAAGCAGACAAAAATGATCAAGATTATAACCCACCCCCAAATCAGCAAATCCAAGTTTTTGTTTGCATGGCCCGTTTTCATTTACACTCTTTGCAACTTGACCAAAACGCCCTGTGGCGGGCTTGAAGTTTTTGTTGCACAGGGAATAATCGCGGCAGCACACGCTCCCTTCAACAGCCACTCCCACAACACCTAACGAAACGGATGTGACAAATGACAACACAAGCGGAGTCACTAAGTTCCACCATTCAACAGAGTTCATGACAGTGTCTGCAGGGTTCAATTGAGGAGGGAGGGTAAATTAAAAGAGGGCCACTTTCCCCCCTCCCCAGTTTTATAACGTTGGCGGCTTTAATCCGTATTTCTTTGCAACTTCCGTCTGAGCATGGGCAGCATCACAAAGTGAATATAAATGAGCCATCTCCATTTCCGACTTGGCCAGGTTGATAGCTTTGTTGAACATGTCGATGGCTTTCTCCATGTTTCCTCTAAAAGAACAGAAATTGCAAGCATCAGATATAATACAAATGTTACATGGAGCCTGACCGTTAAGTTTTCCACTAAGATTCCAACAAAACGTAAGAGCGTTAGGTATTGTTACTAAGATGGACGGAAGGTATAGCTCTGTGAGGTAGATGATTTCATGCGATACTTTGGGCCCCTACTGAGCTCCAGATGTTAAAATGTAGAAAATGTGAGACTCCAACTTCAGCAGCTAGTCATTTCTCCACTGGTTTTTGAACTTCAGTGCTTATTGTTTGAGGTTGGCAGTGTTCCCTCTCTTGGCTCATCTTTGAGACCTTTTCAAACAGGCCAGCATTCCTATAATCTTGCTGCAGAGCTTCAATGATTTGGGACTATGCCCACCTGAATTTGTATTAACCCCCCTCTCAAAACTTTTCACTATAACAAAAAGCCACACACCCCACCAAGTACTGGGTGAAACCATGCCAACGAGGTGTAGAGGACTCTACTTGAGAATTAGTCAGTTCTATTCTGCTGGCTGTGAGAGTAAGCAGCCTCAGGAAGAAGGATTCCCACCACCATCAAGGAGGAGTCACCAGTAAAGCATGTGTGAGAGCCCTGCGTGACGTGGCAGACGCAGAGATCTAAGAACCACACAGCAGGATATGATCCTTTCTGTATTTATCAGAGCCGGGTATGTTCAAACAGCGCTTGACAAGGAAATCATCATCTTAACTGCACCAAAACCCAATTCTGACTCATAGCAACTCTCTAACATGGGGTCAAACTGCCCCTGTGGGATTCCAAGACGTATTCTTTACTTCGTTGGAAGCTCGACCACAAAGACAAAACATGTAATGGCTACTGACAGTAACATGTCTGCGACGAGATGAAAACGTGAGTCTAAGGAGTTCCTGAGAACAGATGCTGTAAGTTACCTTTGTACTTCGATAGTTCCCATGGTCTCATAGGCAAAATCACATTTGTTGTCAATTTCAATAGACTTGCTGATAAGCTCCAAGCCTTTATCCAGATCCTGCTTCCACTGAAGTTGAAGTAAACTACAAATGTAAACAGACAGGTGACCATGGCTCAGCACCAACTTCTCATCCAAGGAACTTACAATCGACACAATTTATAATCAGCACAGAAAAACCCAAAATCAAAACGGTAGGTATCCAGAATATCAAGAAACCTAAATCAAATTCACGGTCACTGAGTCGATGCCGACTCAGTATGACCCCACAGGCCAGGGCAGAGCTGCTGTGTTTCTGGTGTTCTTCCGCGAGTAGAAAGTCTGCTCATTGTCTCTCAGAGTGGTTGGCGGCTTCGGACTGCTGACCTTGCAATTAGCAGCCCAATGTGTAAACACAGTGCCACCAGGGCTCCTCTGTAAATATATATGGTTAGCATCAAATTGTATTTTCTTCATAATGTATACAGGGTCTGTCATGAGCCCCATAGTAAGAGGAAATTATGTCCCGTGACTGCCTGGGCACTGCAAAGTCTGACGACTACACCTACTCATGGCGAAGAGATCGTTCGTGCTTCCTCTATTTGATATGAGTAATGTTTGACAGGATGTCCAGAACTGAAATGAAAGGTCTTATCTATGAGGGAAAATAGTATTCTTAACAATGTTTACATAAGAATGAAAAACAATGAAACTTAAAACAAGCACAAAGAAATTTAACAATTAACTCAGTCCTTTCCTCAATGGCCAAAGGAAATCCATTTTATTATTAAACTAGTTTTTTTTACATGCAATAAAAGAACAGGAATACATACCCTTTATGAACGTATGTTGTGGCATTGTCTGGTTCCAGGTCAATACACTTATCATACATTTCATCAGCTTTACCAAACTGTTGTTGATCTGTTAACGCCTATGTGAGGAGATGCTTCAGTTGTATTAAGATGACAATGTATGCAGTTAATAAGTATACTGTTTATTAAACTTATTCCTTCATTACCAAATTACACTTTGGGGTTGCAAGCTGGTTTCAAATGGAAGGGCTTCCTTAAGAAGTTTATAGGAAGACTGCCTCACTCTCTCACTGACTCACTCACTCACTGTCTCATTCTCACTCTCTCACTCATTCTCACTCTCTCACTCATTCTCACTCTCTCACTGCCTCATTCTCACTCTCTCACTGCCTCACTCTCTCACTGTCTCACTCTCTCACGGTCTCACTCTTTCACTGTCTCACTCTCACTCTCTCACTGCCTCACTCTCTCACTACCTCACTCTCTAAAAAAGAAAAAAGAAAAAAAGAAGAAGTTTATAGGGCATTGTTATAGATCTCTGTGTATAAGCACTGAGGAAAACACATCAACTTCCCAGTTTGTAAAATCATCCTACTGTACAAGCTTTTACAACTAAGTAAATACAACATATAGATGGCAACCGGTGCTGTTAATCACTTATAATCACTGTTAATTGCTTATAATAACTTCTTGTAGGAATTTTAAAAGAAAACACCATATAAGATTATTTCAAATGGAGATAAGAGCATTCTATGTTTCAAACCCCAGAATTTCAATCCCTAAAGCAGTGACATTAAAACCTAAAAAGAATACATCACACACATAGCAATGTTCTTATAGAGAAACTTAAGTTTAATGATAGCGTAACAGAGATTAGAAGCATAACAAACCAAGTTAACAATGGTTTAGAAAGAGGAATATGCCAGTGATGTGTTAGCTTCCTGTTGGTTGAGTTTGGGTCTTTTGTTAACAAAACAAGTTATTACACAGTAGAGATGACTGACTTATGTAGTTATCAAAGAAATGTTTTTTAAAAACTAGGAAACAGAATCATTCACACATAATTTATTTTGAAGGAGAATTACAACTATAGTTGTAGAATGCTTATCAGTTTCAAGTAAATGGGTGATTTAGATTTCATAATCTTTCAAAAATTTTCAATAACTGCAAAGTGAAACTATTTTAATTTTTGAATTCTATTTTCCATAGCTTCAATTTTAAACCAAAGAATACTTCTAAAATGATTTTAAAAGACTACAGAAAAATTGAAACAGGATGTGAAACAGGGAGACGATTTCCTGGCTATTCCTCCACCTATACACAGTAAGATTTCCTGAGGCACATTTTTCTTGGAAGGTGGGCAAATGCAATTCAAATGCAATCCTGAGGAGGAAAATGTTTTAGTTAAGCTTCCTAGGAAGAATTAGGGCCTTAGGTAATGGTGCAAATTGTGCACCAGGAGCTTCAGGACGATGCAGCCCTTCCTGGGAGTCGGAAGCATCACGGCACGCGCAATGCCACCTGCTCCCGCTGGGGCTGCGACTGGGAAACCACGTTGTCTGGTTTGCAGTCCTTTAAAAAGGACTGCAACCGAAAAACCTCTGGAAAATAAAAAAAATAATTACCTGGGCATATAGTGCATAGCCTTCGGCACACCTTGGGAATTTCTTTATGACTTCTTCAAATCCTTTCATAGCTGCTTGGATTTGTGATGCATTATTTCCTGTGTACGCTTGGCGATACTGTTTTTCAAAATCAAACACAGGCCTGTCAAATCAAGTGCTCAAAACTCATGGAACGTTAGCACATTACAAAAGACATGCAAAATTACAGAAATATCTAAGAAACCCAGGCAATTTAATGTAATTTGCTGCATCTCAAATAAGAAAATATCTCAACATTAGGGATCCAGAGGTTGTGCCCCATGAAGATTTCACTCCCACTATAGGGATGTGCAGTACTTTACATGTCACGTGCCAAAAGTTTAAACTCCTTCACTTCAACAGCAGTTCTAAATCTGTGGGTTGTGACCCCTTTGGGAGTCGAAAGACCCTTTCACAAGGTCTTAGGTGACCCCTAGGAAAACACTTATTTCCAGTGGTCTAGGACCCTAGGCACTGCTCCTCTGTCTCCAGACAGGTCCTTCCACATGCAGATACACCTGACTTACCCATGCGACTAGAAATAAATATTTCACAATACGTACATGATTACATAGTTTTTGTGATCAGCCACTATCCTTTCATTATGTTCAATTTGTAACAATGAGAACACATCCTACATCTCAGATATTTACATTATGATTCATAACAGTGGCAAAATTACAGTTATGAAGTAGCAATGAAAATAACTATGGTTGGGGGATCACCGCAACATGAGCAACTGTACTAAAAGGCCGCAGCATGAGGAAGGTTGAGGACCACTGGCCTAGAGGGAACGCAGAAAATGGGTAGGAATTTTAATCGCCCATGATTTACTACCACTTATAAGTCACATTAATCTAATACCCTTTCCCCAATTCTTAACAGTTCTGACCCATTTTATTAATTTAAAGCTAGTTTTAAAAAAGATTCACAAGTTTAGTTCAATCATCTTAAAAATTATGCTATCGCTACAATCAATTAAAATGCTTTCTTTTTATCCTCATTAGCTCGCCATTCCCTTCAACCTCGCCTGCCATGCCCTTGGAAACTGTTAGTCATCTTTCTAGATTTACCTGTCTTGAGTGTCATATGAAAATATAAAACCAGATACCCAATAGTGATAATAAAAAACAAAGTAGAAAATATTTAAAAACTAGAATAAATGAACAATCGGTCAAAAGGGTGATCAGATGATAACATGTTAAAATTTTAACCTAGCTCCTCAGGGAATGCCAAAGGTGGACTTTGGGACCAGGGTATGGTGCCCAAACAGACTGGACTAAGAAACACTCCTAAAGGCCAACAAGCAATCCTTGAACTAACTACAAGCTTTTCTTTCTTGTTGCATTTTGTTTTCTTCTTTGTCAGTGGTTTGTTGTTGCTGTTTTGTTGTATATTGTTGCTTGGTTTTGCTGTCTTGTGTTTCTGCATGTTATTATCTCCACAAGTCTGTCTAAATAAGACAGGCTGGATGAACAATCTGGAGGAGAAAACAACAGGACTGACAGTTCCGTGGGGACATGGGAGAGGGGGAGGTGGGGGGAAAGGATATGGTGTGAACAAACCCAGGGAGACAAGGGAACAACAAGTGATCCAAATTGGTGGTGAGGTGGGTGTGGGACGCTTGGTAGGGCGTGACCAAGGGTAATGTAACCAAGAGGAATT